GAACTGCTAATGGCCCCAACTCTCCTGAATCACAACCTTGAGGGTTCATGAGTTTGCTACTACATTCCACCCCCTGATTGTGTCCTGAACTGGAAAACTTCTTGAACAGGTCACTTGTTTTTACCCAATGCGCTACTTTGATGGTGATGCTTTCAATTAGTTCATCTTTAAACTTTGTTCACCTTGGAAGGTACAATTATTTCTTTCTTCCCAAACAATCCACACTATCAATCTCTAGTGGCTCTCTACATAACCTTTTCCGTCGTCTTCATCTATTTAAAGAAATATACATCAAACAAAGCTGCCACAAGAGGCAACCACTTGCAACCAAAGAGAGGAAAACCAATCCCAAATACATGAAACAAATGAACTGGAGATTAGTGAAGGGTGTTGCCATCTCGTCACAACTATAACAAAGGATACAAACATAAGGGGAGAGGCACTAATTTAGCCTTCTTTGAAACACATCACAAGTGTTAAACCAATCTAGCAAAAAGCTTAATCTTTGGAGGCATTGGATTACAGCAAACTTCATTGGTTGGAAAAGACAAAACTTGATTGGGGGAGAAGAGGAGGGCAGTGAAAAAAGAAGCACATAAGAAAAGGAGAGGAGAGGCTGTCCAAACACGACTATTCAGACAAGACAGGCCCAAGAAAACAGACTCAAAAAGATAAAGAAGTTCATCAACAACTCCCATTTCAATTTCCCTAAGCCCTCTCCTAGAACCCAAGTCCCATGAGTCTCCATCACCATGGACTGAGGGAATGGGATTTAATTGGTGCAAAGAAAGAGAGTAACTTTAAGGAAATCTTTCCTTAAGAGGGGCTTCTCCAAGCTAAATATCTTCTCAGAAGATCCCTTTATTACCAGAACATACACCATACCTTATGGAAGGAAGAAAAGAGGGATGTTATGAATAGCTTTGACAGAGAAGAGTACAATGACCTCGGGTGGAGATAAGCATCCCAATCATTACCCAAGTCACCATATCATGGATTGTTAACTATCACCTCGCGGCACAACTTATCCTATTTAAGGGGTAAACTCCAGATCCACTTCCCTAAAAGTGCTAAATTCCTTTCTATCCCCCTTGCTCCTAACTCGTAGAAACCACCTCCTACTACAATATGTGATTCTCTTTAGTTTCACCAGGTTCCTACAACAAATCTTTCATAATATTCTCTAATTTGTTGACAACCTTTTAAGAAATACAAAAGGTAGGAAGGAAGCAAAGCTACAAATTTTCCAAAATAGACTTGATTAAAGTGATTCTTCCCCTAAGTGAGATATAATTTCTTTTGCAGCCCTCTAGCTTCTTTTTGTGAACCTTACCAAGACCGAGTCCAAAAAACTCTCAAAGTTTGGGTTCCCCCCAATGGTCCTTAGTTTAGTTCAGTCTTATGTTTATTATTTTTTGTGTTAATGGGCCCTTTAGTCTCATGGGCCTGTTAACCTCTTTTTTTCTTTAAGTTTATAAGCAGCCACCAAGGGTACTTATGTAATTATTTTTACTTCTTTTGATTTAATAAAAGTTTTGGGGCTGGAGAGAGAGTATAATTGACTCTTCTCCTTCTCCTTCTCCTTCTTCTTTTTCTCTCTTGCTCTCATACTCTTTCTTTTTCTGTTTTTCTCTTTCCAATTAAACAAAAGAATCAGTTGCTGGATAGTTTTCTTCTAACTAAAAGCCAATCACTCACAACCACATCCCAAAATGTTAGTGAGTCTACTCACTTCTTCCACTACCCTATTTGAGTATTTATCCCTACCACACAACTCTTTCTCCAATTCACTTTCAGATTGGAGACTCTTTCCAATTGATTAACCAGATTCTTAAGGACGCCAAGAATATGTTCTAAGAAGGATAGATTCTAAATACTAAATGTTGGATGACAGGGATATGTACTTGGTGAGCCCATTACAATTTTAAAGGTATAATGTTCTCAAATCCACCAAAAAATAGTTAAGCACAAAAGCAGTAATGATAAGCCAAATAATAGTCAAAACGCATGCAAATAAAATATCAAAGAGTTATGAGAGAACCAATGTAGAGAAATTGAGATTGGGAGAATCAACTGCATCTGTACCTAGGCGCCCGACCAAGTACTTCTTCCACACCTACAAATGATAAAAGAAAAGGAACACCAGCCTTTGATGCTTGTATTGCAAGTTGTTGCTGACCAACATGAAKAGCATCAAACTTCCCCAAAGCTACTATACCTCCTAGTGAAGAGATCACAAGAAAATCATGAGAATGTTTTATCGAGATGGATAAATAATGCACTTTTGATTTCATTTTTGGTAATATAAGAAACAATACCAAGACCAAACATGATTTTGATGAGAAAACAAGGGGACATGCTTTAGTATAGGAACCTTTGGCATTTTTTTTTGGAAGAAAGTGGCTATTCTCAGACTCAAATCCACATTCTCATGCATGTCAACCCAACATTTTACCATTGCAACAAGCAATGATCCCTAACATGCCTTGATAAATATTAAAAACAAATATATGTCTAAAATCCCCAAACAGAATAAATATTAATGAGAGGAACTATTGCATGCAGTAGATGTAGGCACAGTATGAATCTAAAGCATAAGAGATAGTTCTATTTTTTTCTTGGAGCCAATAGTAAACATTTTCAGAAGACATAAAAGAACTAGTCATTATGAATCTAGAACACAGATAGTCTCAGTCACTACAATGAATTACATGAACAAACAACCACAGAAAAAATAAAAACAAAAGAAATGGATATTTTAATGCTGACTTTAACACACATAAGCTGAAGAATAGAACAGCAACATAACTAAGAGTTTAGAAAGCAAATAACCCCAGGACAGGCAAATCTCTGTGAACTCATGTGGAATGAAGCAGACAGACTAAAACTAAACTTCAACAAAATCTTATGGCCTTCTGATATATATATATATATATATATATATATATATATATATAAATAAATAAAAGGCCAACACCCAATGTTGGCTCCATTCTTTTCCTTCCTAAACTCTTGTAAAGACCACCCAACCAACACTTTCACCAAACCACCAAAAAATGCTAAACAGTTGCAACATAGACTCTTGGTGAACTGATAAAGAAAGACCAATATTCAAAATTAATTGAAAATCACAAAGTAGGGGAAAATTACACAAGTTTTTTTTTGTTCTAAATCCTATTAGTTTATAGGATTCAGTTTTCACTAATTTTGTAACCATTGGTAGAAAGGCCATATGTGAAAAATATTTCGTGATAATAGATGCCTACTTGTAAATAAAAGAGCATCTATACTTGCCAGGGTCAAGTGATTATCTTTGCTGTTTGTAAAGCTTTTGATTCAAGGGATTCTCTCCCTCCTATAATACAAACCATTCGCCCTTTAAAAAAATAACACAAGGGTTAGGTGAAACCTGCCACAGAGGATGATCCTTCAGAAGGGAGATCACGATCATCTTCCTGTTGACTAGCAATAACAAATGACTCAGATATTTGAACAACATGAGCATTAACAAACATAAAAAATGAAGTCAAAATAACAACAATGGAATCAAGTGAAGGAACTAAGGCCTTTTCCGATGCTAGTTAGGTCCTGTCAAAGGTAACTAGGAGCAAAGGAAGAACAAACCCTGATAATAAAGAAAACAGCTCAAAGAATTAAAGAACAAAAAATTACAAGAAAGAGAGGTGGAATTCAGAAAGGAAGGCTCCCAAGTGCACATGCATGGAAAGCATTTTAGGGAGAAATTTGAGCCTATACATTCAGAAGAAAAATAAGAAAGAGGAGATTCAAAGTCTTGCATTTCATGCTCATCTTATAATCCCTCTGATCAGGGCACTAAAGAATGTTGCAGGCATATGCCCCTCAAAAGGGTAGATGAAGCTAAAGAGGTGATGGCAGAGAACTTGGGTTTGAAAGAAGTGATAGCCAAAATGGTGGAGATATGGTAAGATGTCAGATATGTTCTCCCTGGGGAATCACATGCTGCCCACCATTTGTAGATTTTTTAGAAGCAAAGTTTGCAATTCCCCTGAAATCTGTCATTACATCCTAAGTCAGCTAAGCTAAACAGAACTCAAATATAAGCTAAAGTTTCACATATTTCCTAACAAATTTCCCATGAAATTTCTCATTTTTGAAGAATCAAAATTTAAATTGCAAATGCAAGCCTTAATTAGATGAAAGTGAATGTTCGGTTTTAAGTCAAAGTCAGTGTCCTCAATTGGTCCAATTAAGCCAAGAAAAGAGAAGGGATTAATAAACATATGGCTACATCAATATGGGACATAGAAAAGAAGACAGGGGAAACTGGATAATTCATACGGTTGTAATCATAGCAATGAGTGTGCTATGGGTATTGTAATTGCATTGATGCTCTTTAATGCATGATTAGGATTATGTTAAGGTGGTCATCTATATTTTAGAGATTAAACATACTTGTGGATTCCTTTTCCCTTTTTCAGGAGGGTGGGAGGGGTTGCAAATATTGATTGTTTTAACATCTTTCATAATGCTTTAAGACCTGATGTTTTGTTTTTGGTTTTATCTTGTTGGTAGAGATTTCACTCTTCTGATGGATCTTTGAGTTTTATTTTGGGAAAGGCTTTGTGGTTAATGATGCTTGGTGCCTGTTTGGTTGTGATCCTAGTCATATTTCTGTCTTATCGCCTGTTACTCATATAATTTGTATATTTTTCCTTTTATCTTGTTTTAATGTAGTATCCTTTATGGATCAAAATATGCAGAGGAAAAGGCTGAGAAAAGAAAACAAAAGGCTATACTAAAAGCATGTACAAATCTAATGGATCTCCAAATGATTCTCCAGTATCGCAAGCAAACTGGTTTAAACAGGTCCCTATGAACCCAGCCAATTACTATGGCTTTCACAACTTATCCAAGAACAAGAGAATCTATTATAAGTACCCTACAGAACAAATGAAATGAAAACTGAACTGTTTGGTTTAATTAATTCCAAGTTCAAAAAGGTTCAGATAATTCCTGTTTCAAGATGTCAATTCCTATTTAGTGGTGATCCTGGTTTGGCTTTATATTTTCTACATTTTCCTTTTTCTAATGAGATGTAACTTTATTAACTAAAACAAAACATTGTACATGAGGATGCACTCATGCAGCCGAATCCTCAAACAGATTAAGAAACAATAGTGTTCAGGTTTTGCTACATAAAAGTGCCCTATTCATATTTGGTCTGCAAGCCTATCTACCATTGTGCTCAGTTTCCTTCATATCCATCTAATCTCTACTAAAAATAATGCCAAAATTCCTTAGTTTCCTTAATGAAGTAAGTTCGTACATTGGTTCTAGTATAATATTTTGCTAATTTACAATTAATTTCAAATCTATAATAATCATGTAGTTTCTTCTTTTAACTAACCTATCACTGATACTAGCAGTATTAATTATAATTGACCCACTAGAATTTTGACCTTCATGTCTATCTTTTACATCTATTTTTCATGCATGCACATTTATTGTTTTCTTTTATTGATATTTTTCATGCATGCACCATTGTTAAGAAAAGAAGATCCATTCAACAGCCTTAGTTTCTTCTTTATTTATATCTTCTAACAAGTCCAATTCATCCGGATAAATTTCAGAATATTTTCTCTTTAAATTCCTCGAGCCATTCTTGCCGACCTGTACTGTTTACCTTTGCTCAGACCCTTAGCAATCTTTACGTATTAACTATTACATATAACCACAGCCCATCTTGAACCACTTTCCCCACAGATGTTTTCTTTGCTTTATATCAATATTTAAAACTCACTTTCTAGCCTCTTTTTTTCTTCTTCTTTTTAAAGCAGCATTGTCTAGCCTCTGTTATTTTCTGATTTTATGACATTTTAAATGAGACCAGTTGAAACTTATTTTTCCATCATAAAAAAATAAAGAACAACTAAGCTTTTTAACCCAGAAAAATCATTCCGATTCAAGTGATTGCTTTCTACAAGGCACATTACATAGAATTAGCCACCAAATCAATAAAATCTGAACTTTCAATTAAACTGAAGAACAGAAGGGATATCAGAGTGAGTTTTTTTTTTTTTTAAGAAAAGGAAAAATTAACAGAAAATCCAAATGACATTTTCATTGTGATATTTTCTTTCATTGAAGAGTAAAAAATGCAGAGTAAAATCAGCCTAAATAGTAAGAACAGGAAAATATTGATGAAGAAAGAAATAAAGAGAGGCAAATAAGAACAAGAAGGGGAATACGGAAATAACAACAAATAATCACACCTTAAACCATCAGCAAGCGCTGAACCAAGTGATCTTGCTTGAAGGTAATCAATGAGAATTCCTGAAGCACGGGTCGATGTCATCACTCTTTGCAAATGCTTCTCACATATCCCCCCAAAGGATCTCAAAGCAGACGAGATGGCATTTCTGCCATCCGCGGAAGAGCAAAGTTGAATTCTTGAGCATAACCCCAACTTGCAACCTGTCAAGTGCTGTCGAACTCGAAAACCACTTGCCATTCCTAGTTGAGAACGGCCAGTCCAATAAAACAGGAAAGATATGACGTATTAAACCAAATAAAGCAGGACACCGAATGTTCACAATTTACAACAAAAGAATCACAAGGATTTGAAGAAAGTGGCATGTGGCCAAGCCATAAGGATCTAAGGAAATGGATTCATAGGACCAGAACAACTCATTTTGAGAAATCAAAATCGTAGCCAATATGAGAGACTAGCATAAACATCAAAACATATTTGAAAATTTTACTTGTGTACACTAAATAATTTAAACTCAAGGTAACCCAGTTATTTTCAACAAAATATGTCTACTGCTTTTCTTTTTTCCTTACTGACAAGATAAAAGGAACTTACTAGAAGAAATGAACAGAAGAATAAGAATAAACACAATTTACCTTGGGTTGAGAGGAGGAAAACAAACAGACTGCATATTTTTGACATTGGTCACCAAGGTAGAAAACAAAATTGGGTCCATGAAATCCTTTCAGAGAATATATTCAGGAGCTCTTTACGATGATTCAAGAAAAAGATTTAAAAAATGTGAAAAAGAAAAGAAAAACGATCATCTCATGATATCCTCATTATAGTTCACTTCAGTAGTTCAGTTGACCCTGCTTATGAGTTTCTTGTCGCAGTTAACCTGGTCAAAACAAGTCTCAGCTCTCAATTATCTCTAGAGTGCCTAAGTTTCTCCATCCTATATTGGATATTGTGTTCAGGAATTGCTTGAGTCTGAAACCTGAAAACCTGGATAAGTGAACTGGGCCAATTTATTTATCCGGGCACATTTAAGTGGACAAATTTCTTGTATGAAACTGATGATTCATTTTCGAATTGGTCAATTCTATATCCGGCAACTTTACAAATTAATAGGTCAACAACTAACTCAAAAATAAATCAACAAAAAAAGAATTAGAGAAAAAATAAATATACGCTAAAGGAAAATTGAACCACAAATATATATATATATATATATGAAAACCTAGAATATATATGAAAACCTAGAAAGATTAGATATAAGAAGTTAAGAACCCATGGATTGAACCACAACTAATTCGACTTCACTAGAGTTTACCAGAAACTGTTCTGAATGGAGCAACTTACGAAAGAAGAGAATATCGCCTGGTATGAAACTGCAAACACAGGTAGGATTTCCAGAGAGAGAAAGAGAAAGAGGAGGAAGAGAGAGTAATTTCCAGTGCTTGGCGGTGAAACCAGTGGCAATAGTGTCAGAGAGCGACAACTGGAACATCTGCGTGGATGGCAGACAGACCTCTCAGTTCAGTTCCAGAGCTGAAGTTTGTGGGGAAATAGGAAAACGGAAAAACTAACGTGACGGTGACCGTCATTTTGACTATCCAATTAAAAATGCCACGTGGAATAGAAAACCTGACCTAATCACTCTCAGTAAGATATGAAGCAGTAGAGTAAACATTCCACCAAAGTAGAGACCCTTCTTTCAGTTCCATTAATGCCTTTAGTTGTACCACATCATCAACAGACAAACCTGTTTTTTTCAGGAAGATTAACTCCATAGCGGACGTCGTGAATGTCAACATCAATAAAAACAAGTTCTTGTCTGTAAACTGCTTACGATGATCATGTAATCTCACGGCAAATCAGAAGATTTGACAACCTACTCGGCTGTTCTTATGCAGTGGAAGAATCCAGTCGACAAACACGTTTCACCGCTCTCAATACCTATGAAACTGGGAGTATCCCTATCACCTGTATATTTATTTGCCTGGTTATTTTTACGGCGCAATTAAGACACTTGTTACTTTGGCTTCGATTTTAATCTTTCGTAAGTTTTCTCGTTTTCTTCCCTTTACTTAACTTAATCTAGTTCGATCTTCTTGTTCTGTTTGCTTAAGATAAATTTTTGGTCCAATTTCTTTAACTAGCAGTTTAATTTAAGGGTTTAACTGTCACGTCACCTCTTTTAGGCTTGTTTCTTCTTCCTCCTTCCCTTCCGTTTCTTCTCCCAGTTTTCTCCCGCTTTCTCAGCCCTCCCTCCTCTTTCTTTGTCCTTTCCTGCTTAAATTGATTTGCTTTTTCTCAGCATGGAGAACTTAGAAGCTTTGAATGGAGCCTTTCAGCATATGCTGCAAGGTAATGGAAACAATGGAGTCGAGGTTGCCAATATCCATCCTTTAATCCCTCTAAATGTTGTCCAAAACTAGCAATTCTCGCTTATCTATCGCTTCTTTCCACGGCTTACAACCAATTTGAAGAGGTAGTTCAAGGCCTTTATGACCTCTGGAACTTGGACCTGGGTACTCTTTTAATGGCTCCTTTTCATAGAGGCCACTTTTCGTCAAACTTCCACTTTGCTGAGGATTATGATAGTGTTCGTTTAAATGGACCTTGGACGTTAAACACTTAATGGATTCTTATGTCTCATTGGATCCCATCTCCCTCAATATGCTTGGAATCTACAAGAGATTGAAGTGTGGGTTCAAATCCATGACCTTCCCTTTGAATCCCTATCTGTAGATGTTGGTCGCCCTCTTTTTGAACGTTTAGGTCTCACTCGAAATGTTATTGTTGTTTAAAATTACATCTGAATTAAACTCACTATCTTGTGGGTTGTCCGCTTCGAACTGTGGGTTGTCCGCTTCGAACAGGTTGCTTTGTCATTGTCACCAATTAGATCACTTATAGGTATGAGGATCTCCCCTGGGTTTGCTATATCTGTGGAAAAATAGGACACCAATTTCGCCACTGCTCTCAACCTTTGTTTGACCCTCAGGGTCGTTCGTTCGACCAATTTTTTAGCCGGAGGGTTATGAACCTCCCGGGACCTTGGCTGAGGGCTAAACTTACCTTACAACGGACTTGGCAGCGTCCTCGATTCATGGACTTCATGGACATCCCCCTGCCTGTCCCTCCAACCCCAGGAAATCCTCCTGCTGAAGGAACCTCCTCACCTACTAACCAACCATAGCCAGTTGTTTCTACTTCCTCCCCACAGACTCCTACCAACCGATGGTTTCGGTAACCACATCCCTACCAACTCTCCTAGTGTCTACAGCAACTTTTCACTTAGTAGAGACTACCCAAGACTTAGTGATGAATCGACTTTTCGAAGACACTCCTAGCCCTTCTTCCCGTGCTCGAGGTAAACGACCCAGACTAGATCTAACCTCTCACCTGCTCTTGGATCCTAAATCCCTAGACTTGCCAACTTACGATAGGCCAGATCCTCCTTCTGAAGAGACCCATATTCTTATGACCGTATTCTTATGATCGATCTGGTGGGACATTCTAAGAACACTCAGCACTCAGAGGATCAACGTTCGGTAAGTCCTCTCCTTTCTTCCTTGCTTCTTGTTTATCTATGGGTAGAGGTGGCTGGCCCTAAATAGCCCCACCGTTACCAATGATTGTCTTTAGCTGGAACTGCCGAGGGGCAGGGCGCCCTAAGGCAGTTCAGGGGATCAGGGACTTTGTCAACCATGTCAATCCTGACTTTATCTTCTTATGTGAGACAAAGATCCCTGAAGATAAAATTAATAAATTAACAAATACTTTACATTATTCTAACTGCATCACTATCGATCCTAAAGGAAGAGCAGGAGGATTAGTAGTCCTCTGGAAAGCGGGGTTTCAAGTTTCTTTTTTGTCTTCTTTTGCCAGGTATGTGCTTTTTAAAATTCAAGATTCTCACTTCTCTTGGATTCTAGCTTTTATTTATGTTCCACCAATCAAACACCACAGAAACCAATTCTAGCTTCATCTTAATGAATATTTCCAGCAAGTGAACCTTCCTTTTGCTATTATTGGTGACCTCAATGAGGCAACTGCCTTAAATTCTATGGAACCTTCTACTTCCTCTAACCCCTCTTCCCTCTTTTCTAGACAATATCGAAATTTTGTCATTGATCATAACCTTCTAGAAGTGAACATTCAGGGTGGAGGACTGTCGTGGTCCAAGACATTTTGGACGTCTCAATCGAACTCTTGATAGAGTATTAGTTTCTCTTGACTAGTTAGGAGTCTACCCTAATGCCACCCTTACCCTTGGTTCCAAATGGGGTTTGGATCATCACCCGTTAATTTTCAATTTACCCCCGCCCCTGGAACCAACCTTTTTAAACCTTTTTGTTTCCTCGAAATGTGGCTCACAGTCCATCCTTGTAAGCAAGCCATCGAAGATGGTTGGAATATCCCTTTCATAGGATATGCAACTTACAAAATAACAAAGAAGTTGGATTCTGTAAAAAAGAATCTAATCACTTGGAAGTCAGCCCACTTCACGGATCCTAAGCTCAAGCTCAATCAATTGGAAGATAAGATCTTACAGGCAGAACAACGAGAAGACTACTCAACTCTCCTTTGCCTGTATAGAGAATATGATCTAGTAAATAAGCAAATAGAGAGTTTCTAGAGACAAACTTCCCGTCAAACCTGGTTGCATTTGGGAGACCGCAATACAAAGTTCTTTCATAAAAGCACCATCTTTAGGAGGAAAATAAACTTCATTGAGGGAATAAAGGATCCCCAGAATGTTTGGAAGACAGATCATAAGGAAGTTTCTCAAATTTTGGACTTGATCTTTATTCGAGTCAAGACCCCTCAAATTTAGACTTCTTAAATGAGGTGATAAGTCCATTGGTCTCGGAAACTGAAAACATTTTACTCTTAAACACTCCCACAGATGAAGAAGTCAAATCTGCCATTTTTTCCATAGGGAGTCTAAAGCCCCTAGGGCCTGATGGCATGCCTACCTTGGTCTTTAAGGACTTTTGGGACATGATGGGACCAGACTTAGTCCTTTTGGTACAAGAATTCTTTTCTAATAAAAGGCTTCTTAGAAGAATGAACCACACCTTTATCTACCTTATCCCCAAAAAAGTAGATTGTACTAAAGTTCAAGACTTCCGACCAATCATTCTTTGCAATGTCACGTACAAGGTAATAACTAAAGTCATTGCAAACCGTCTGCGTCCTCTCCTCGACAAATGTATTTCTCCCAACTATATGGATTTTGTACCTAATCGCCAAATGGCAGAAAACTCCATCATCACTCAAGAACTTTTCCACTATCTAAAGCACAAAAAGAAAGGACCGGGTTACATTGGCCTCAAACTAGATATGTCCAAGGCCTATGATAGGATAGAATGGAGTTATCTGTTAAAAATTTTGTCCATCCTTGGTTTCTCAAAAGACTTCTATCACCTGATAAAGGAGTGTATCTCCTCAGTTTCCTTTTCATTTTAGCCATGGAGGGCCTCTCTAGATTTCCGTATAAAGTTGAGGTAGAAAATAGAATCCAAGGTCTTTCCCCTGCCTCATTGTCTCCGAAGATTTCTCACTGCTTCTTTGTGGATGATATTATGATCATCATCAGAGCCCATAAGGATGAAATTGATAACCTTAATCAAATTTTAAATACTTTTCAAAGCCTCTTGGGTCAGTTAATTAATTTTGAGAAGTCTGGTCTTTATTGCAGTAAAAATATTCATCCCCAGCTTCAAAGGCTGATTAGACGTCAAATTAAAATGAAACATTTATCAGAAAATACCAAACACCTTGGTCTCCCCCTCTTTTGGTCCAGGAATAAACATGTTCAACTATCCTTCATTTTGGAAAACATCGGAGCAAAGTTAAATAGGTGGAGAGCCTCAGCAATAAGTCAGGCTGGAAAGCAAGTCCTCATCCAATCAGTCCTTCAGGCAACCCCCATCCATGCCATGTCTCTTATCAAATTGCCTAAAAAAAACATCAATCATATTAAAAAAACTTTTCGCCAGTTTTGGCGGGGTTCCACTGATCAAACTTCCCATTTTTATCGATGGTGTGCTTGGCATAAGCTTACTCTCCCAAAAAATGCAAGAGGATTGGGTTTTAAGAACTTGACCTTATTTAAACGAAGCCTGCTAAAGAAAGTAGCCTAGAAATTCTTTAATGAGCAACACAAACTCTGTGCCCAAAAATCGAAATATCTGTGAAATAAAAGCCTGTTTCCCTCAACCATCCTAGCCAAAGGGTCCATTTTCTAGAAATCCATAAATCCTGAAATCCGGGAGTTAGCCTCTGAATGTGGTGCTCTAGTGCACATGAATTCAGATTTCCCTCTTTCACATCGACCTTGGATGCAAAGTAATCATTCCTTCTCCTGGATCCCACTCCCCATGGCCCCAAATATCAGATACCTCAATGTCTCCCACCTCCTCCATCAAGGCTATTGGAACTCCACTCTCATTAACTCCCTGTTCCCCCCATGAGAAGCTCAATGTATTCAGGCAACTCCCATTTTCCCAAACTTAAACCTTCCCCACTGGATTTGGCTCCCTCATTCATCAAGTAAGTTTACAGCGAAGAGAGGCTATCAGCATGCAATCTTTGTGCTTCAAGCCCATCTTCCTATAGAACTTTCATTTTGTCTCAAACACATTTGGAAGTTAGACACTGGCCAAAGATTTAAGTTGTTTTTATGGAGAGTTATCAATGATTATATTTCAGTAAAGGAAAAGCTCAATATTGAGGAAAACCAAAAGCTTTGTGTCTTCTGGGAATCTCATGTTGAATCCCTTACGCACCTCTTCTTGACTTGTTCTTATACCCAAGTTATTCTTTTTGGTAACCCCTGGAATATTAACTTCATAAATAGATTTCAAGATTCTTGGGTAACAAGATTTTCAACAAGTTCATGACATTCACTTAGATAAACAAATTTTAACTTGGTTGGCAATTACTTTGTACTTTATCTGGTTTGCAAGAAATGAAAAGTGTTTCAGAGGAAAGGTAATTCAGCCTATAACTCTCCTGCACCATATAGACCAAATCTACAATTGTCCCCCACCTCCGAAAGTGCAAACTTCTATTCTAAACACTGTGCCAAATCATGCGTTAACTTTGGATAAGATCAATCTTACAATGGCATGCGATATGGAGCTTATTATCTTTACCGATGTAGGGAAAATAGATAACTCCACATAGAGCTTTGGTTGTATGGTTCTATTTCCAAACTTAGCCTGCCTGAAAGTTTTAGGTGGTCGAACTAAACTTGTATCTTCTGTTCTTCAAGCTGAAATGTTTGCCATTCCATAGGTTCTAGAATGCCTTTCGTATTGGAGCTATCAAAAGGTATTTATTGCATCTGATGCGAAACAAGTGGTGGATGCTTTGCAACGACAATCTGAAGTTCCTTAGACCTGCCTTTTGCTTTTGAATAGGATTAGGGAGCTTTTGATTCAAAAGCCTTATGTAAACTTTTGTTATGTATCTCGAACCTTTAATGTGCCTGCCCATAAAGTATCCCATCTAGCAAAACCTCATGGTCTAGAACTTTTTGATTTACCATCTTACCCCAATGGGATACCTAGGGTAGACGACTTTGTAAATATTTCTCTTGCTTAATGTTATGCACATTTTCAAAAAAAAAAAAAAAACATTCCACCAACATTACATTTTTGAGTTTGGTGACTATTTGTTACATTTTTCACAATTTTTACACGTGGCATCTAAGTGGCACCAGATCATTGCTTTTTCTTAGGCATCATATCTCAACCCAAATCCGTTATTCAAACTTTTAATTATTACTAGTGGAATGGCCCGTACAGTGCACGGGGTATTTGATAGTGATGATGAAGTTTGAGTATGCTTTTACATATCGGGCATAGATGAAAGTTCATATACCGTTTAAGTCCTAAGACAATTATATAATACATAAAAAAAAGACTATCCTCACAAAATGCCAAGATCTGAGTTTTAAAATTATAAAATGTTGGTTGCAAATGCATTAGATTGAAACATTAATGGACCAAATAAATGATAAAATTACATTCAATGACATTATATACAGATACAATTCATCCCAATGAAACACAATTTATGAAGAATTGGAGATGCTACTCTTAACCGATCTCATATTTTTAATAACCTAAAACTTATGAAAATAATTACTATTGATGGTTATAAGTAAACTAAGATGTTATGCTAATTTACTCAATTAACTATTTTATAGCAAAAGTCATTATCTAAGATGACTATTAAAAACTTACATTTAAGCCTAAAAACATTTTCTTCATACTTTTTAACTAAGAGGAGATAAAGAAATTAGTTGGAAGCAAAATTTATCAACCAACCACTAGAGTAACATGTATGCAAACACCTTCTAGGCACGTTGAGCACTTGCGCACAATTGTCCAATAATAGAATGTTACGAACACAC